AGAGAGAGAGAGAGAGAGAGAGAGAGAGAGAGAGAGAGAGAGAGAGAGAGAAAATAGTCTGAGTTATAGGACAAAAAAAAATGGTGCTGAGTCTTATCTTTTCTGCTTATCTGAGACCCAGTTGAAGTGTCTTCTACCACAGCACCCCCCTTTCTCTCTGTCTCTCTCTCTCTTGAGACAGGGTTTCTCTGTGTAGTTTTGGTGCCTGTCCTGGAACTCACTCTGTAGACCAGACTGGCCTCGAACTCACAGAGATCCCCTGCCTCTGCCTCCCGCGTGCTCGGATTAAAGGCGTGCGCCACCACCGCCCAGCCTCACAGCACCCCCTTTCTAAGCAGCAATGCCTACATCCTTCTCTGCTCCATCCCTGTGCCTTGTTCATCCCTCTTGGCCCTGTACTCACAACCATTTCAAGGACGGTTTTCCCTGGGAACTCTTGTTCAGTGCAGACCACTACTTGGGGCATCTTTTATCTTCAACCTCTATTATCATGCTGAGTTCAGTAAATCGTCCATAAATACTGCCTGGTTAGCTGGATTATGTCTCAAAACAATTAATTGAACCTAACATTTCTTGAACACTCAAAAATTATAATGGTGAATTCCCAAGGTTTCTGCTTAGCAACACCTAAGGAATGTCCGTTACTCTGTTTGCTGGGGTCTTCTAAGGAAACACAACGGACACAGATAGATACAAATGTATTATGGGAATTGGTTCTTGTGGTTATGGAAGCTTCAAAGTCTCATTCTTTCTAACTGGGAATAAAGCGAACCAGACTTTGGGGAGAGATTTTACTTCATGGTAAAACCCATTATTTGTATGTTGTGGTGGTTTAAAATAAAGCATGTCTCCCATATGATCATATATATGAATACTTGATCCCTATCTGGTGGCACCATAAGGAGGTGAGGCATTGCTATATGAAGTATGCCACAGGCTTTGGAACATATAACCTCACCCTGCTCCCTTTGTGATAAGCCAGCTTCCCGCTCCTGCTGCCCTGCCATGATGGACTCTAGCCCTCTGAACCCATAAGCCAGAAGAAACCTTTTCTTAAGTTTCCTCTGGTTTCACAGCAGCAGAAAAGTAACAACTACGCCTGTTAAGCTAAAAATGAAAAGGGGGAGGAAAGGCAAGGGCAATGGGTCTAATTACTGTGCTGTGCTTGCTGAGCTTACAGTTGCATCTATTATGATTATGTCAACTGTTTAACCTCCTCCCTCCCCAGGTAAAGAGCTGTCAGAAAGCATTAAAATAAAAGTCTTAGACATGACCACAGCTAACAAATGAAAACTGCATGTTAAAAATAATCAAATATTTATCTTATAAGCTTAAGACTTGAAGTAGTTTTTAACATTCTTAATGACACATGCTACATACAGAGCTGTCAAAATGAAAATACTAATACCAAGTAGTATACATTTTACTGATACAAATTAGTAGTTAAGCTTTGAAATGTTTGGTTGTTTCTAAAAAAAGGTATATACCTCTTAGAATTTGGCAGTTTTATTTTTAGTTTATACTGTGCAAGCAAAGGTGATTTATATATTTTTTTGTTTTATGGAATTATTTTCCTCTTTTATTGTACCATGTAACAAAAACAGCCTTCCTTTTCTTTTATCCAAACTGAATGGTAGGCCTAAAGCAGTTAACACTAAGGACCAGAAGGCCAAAGGAGAAGACTGAGAGTCTCAAATTCTACCTGGATTGTACCAACTATGCCTGAAATATTTAAATCTGGACTTTGAAATTTCACAAGAACTTTACCTTTGGATTTCTCATATGCTAACGTAACGAAAATGTGTCTGTTAACAATGAACGAACATACCATCTTCCTAAGATACTGTGGTAGTTCAGACATGCAAGCTAACTATCCATACCCATAAAATAAAAACAAAAAGGTTTACTGTACCAGTGACATAGCTCAGCAGGTAAAGGCCCTTGCTGCCCAATAGTGACTGTTTCTGTTTCGGGAGTAAGCAAGAGCTCCGATTCTATCTGAGGTCCATTCCACATTAGAGGATTAATGTCTAGTAGTATAAATGCAGCCCAAAACACATGGCTAAAGAGGTCTGATGCCCTAGTGTATAGCTAAAATGACATGACCCCAAACTGCCTTCAAAATATTTATGTTTATACCCAGAGACAAAGTGCTCTCAATCCTTAATCAAGGAAGCCTTACTTTGCAGTAAATGGAAACAAACGTAGAGCCCCATGCCTGCACAAGATGCTGAGAATAAAGGATGGTTGTTGAGTGGGGACAGGACATAACGTAAGAGCTGGAAGAGAGGGAGACAGGCTTGGAATGCTGTCTTCAAAGTACAACCCAGCCTTGACAATCATGAACTCACAGCAGCTGTGCCTACTGGTGAAACCTGCCCAACAATCCACTTCGGATGGGGAAGGGATCATGGTCCCTACCTCTTTCTGCTGAACAGCTGCAAATGGATTTTGGAAGAGGAGAGACATACTACCCAACTGTGTACCCACTGGTGAGTGTACCAGGCTCTAACAGAAAGTTCCAAACCCAAGTTCATACAGATGGCTCTAGTTAAACTCTGTAGGACGTGAGACACAACAAAGCAGCCACAGATAATAGGAAATGATATCTGTAAGGAGGGAGAGGAGTTGGCAGGGGACAGGAGGGAAATAAAAACAAGTTCGGGGAAGAAAAACCAGAATGCAATATATACATATATGAAATGGCATGTAACAAAATTTATTTGTAGAAGCAACTACCCTCAAAATTGCTAAGTTTCCAAGCCCTCTTCTAAAATCCTCAAAATCTACCACAGATTTACATAAATACAAAGAAAACCAGAGGAAGATTTTTGCCTGTGCACTGCCTTGTCTGGATACTTTGGTGCTTGGTAAACAGCAAACCCTTTGATATTGGTTGAATAGTAACACACAAGATACAAGTTACCTCTGTTCCATACTTGGCCCTTAGTAGTCACTTTGTGTTGAAAGAAATCTAGTACTAATGACCTCTCATTGATTCAGAATGGCCAAATGTTATGGCGTGACTGTGAAATGCTCCCCACAGGCTCATGTTCTAGGACCTGTTTGCCCTCTGTGGTGCTCTGGAGAAGTGACTGGATCCTCTTCCTCAAGATTAATCAGTGGACTAGTCCCCTGATGGAAATAGGGTTTACTGGGAAGTGGGGGCCTAGCTGGAAGATATCTACAGAGTGTACATGGGGGCTGTATTTTGCCTCTAGCATTTCCTTTTCTCTGCTTCCTGTCTGCAGTGAGGGAAATTCTGTCTGCCACACAACAGAATTTCTAGCAAACTCTGTCACTCCTGCTGGGACACACTACTTGGTGCTGCAGCTGTCAGTCACCCATGCTCCCTCCCATAAGCACCACCATAAACACAGACACACCAAGCTACACTGGAGTTCAACTGTTTCTTTGCTTTATTGCCTGTGTCCTGTCTGGATTGAATAGACATTTGTTTGCACACATCACAAAGCATATGTGGAGGGAAAGAACAGCTTTCAGGAGTCTGTTCTTTCCTTTCACTCTGTAAATTCTCTATAAGCACACGTTAGGAGAGTCACCATGTCCCTAGTCCTAGGACCAGTATTCTTACAAATACTCTCTAATGCAGACATTTCCACACTACATGTTTGTTTCTTTGCATCTTCCAGTGTTACGAGGATGGTTTATGTCTATGTACTTCTGTCATTTGCACTGCATTCATTTCTATCCACCAACACTCCTTCCCATCCTGCCAGTCAGACTCTGTTCAAACACCAAGTGACAGAACAAGGGGGAAAAATGAGAATTTGATTCAATTCAATGGTACCCATGTGCAGTTGGCTTCTTATCAAAATCAACACAAATTCTAGAGATGCTTTTTTTTAAAAAACTCATAAAACTAAATTTAAGTAATTTATTAAATTTATTTTTGGTGCTGACAATAAAACTCAAAGCCTCAAGAATTTGTTATTGAGTTCCTAGAGCATAAAACTCAATTTTTAAAAAGTGAAACACAAGATGAGGTATTTTTCAACTTATATAAAAACATGACCATTAGATAAAATAATGTATTTTTCATAATGCTTTTACTATTTTTTTGTTGCTGTTGTTTTCCAGGACAGGGTTTCTCTGTGTAGCCTTGGCTGTCCTGGAACTTGCTCTGTAGACCAGGCTGGTCTTGAACTTATTTTTTTTTTTTTTTTTTTTTTTTTGGTTTTTCGAGACAGGGTTTCTCTGTGTAGCTTTGCGCCTTTCCTGGAGCTCACTTGGTAGCCCAGGCTGGCCTCGAACTCACAGAGATCCGCCTGGCTCTGCCTCCCGAGTGCTGGGATTAAAGGCGTGCGCCACCAACGCCCGGCTGGTCTTGAACTTAGAGATCCACCTGTCTCTGCCTCCCAAATGCTGGGATTAAAGGTGTGTGCCACCACAGCCTGTTGCTTTTCTTTATTCTTCATTTATTCAAAATGAAAGGCTGTTCATGGAACTGCTTTCCAACTGAGTACCATCTTCCCATGAGGATTCTGGAACAAAAGGAATCTCCTGGTAGGCAGTGTTATTAGCTTCCACTGAACTTTATCATTTCTATAGGACAGCTCTCAAATCTTTCTCCTGTAGAATCTCAAGACCAAGATCCATTTTCCAAACAATTACCTATTAGAAATAGCCATCCAAGTACCTCAAAGACACCTTGAACTCTTGCACCTAAACACACTTATTCTGTTCTTGAACAAATTACTAGCACAGATATCATTTCATACTGTCCCCCTCCCAGAGTCAATCAACAGATGTCTCGTGTTCAAATCCAACCCCCCTTTCTCTGACTCCATTCCAGTGAGATCTGACCATTCTGTTTCTAGGCTGTTAAGCTGTTCTGCTTCTAGTTTCATCCTTCTTAAAAATTAGTTTGTTGCCGGGCGGTGGTGGCCCACGCCTTTAATCCCAGCACTCGGGAGGCAGAGCCAGGCGGATCTCTGTGAGTTTGAGGCCAGCCTGGGCTACCAAG